TGTATGTATGTAAGTTATCCACCATCCCTTCCAGGATCTTTTCTTGTCTTGTCTTCACTCAACATAAAGATCAATTTAAATTAACGAGCTGAATTCGAAACGCCAAAAACGGAGGGTGGACCCGTCAGAAAAGACACTTACGCGAAATTAACGGGGAAATGAGAGCCTCCATCCAACGATACGCTCCAAAAATTTGAATAATACAATTTGCGGTACTTCTTAAACGCATTAATAAAATAAATATCAAGATAAAATTAAACTATGCTACAATTATTATGAGAAGTGCATAGAACAATAAGAAATGTAATAAAAAATACATATTAAATTGTTAAATTTTACCTTGAGTAAAGTTGAAATTAGTCGATGCATTGCAATTCATCAGGTGAAATCTTTTTATAACATGCTTTCTTTTCATAAGAAGAGTTTTTTGTAGCGAAATACCTTTTAACGTATCTTCAGTGCATCAATTGAGTGTACAGTACCCGTTCGATTTTGGCAAAACTAAATTTTCGGCATGTTGCCAAAATGTAACGGTTTTTGTATTATGACTAATTGATGGAAACCAATTGATTTATGATTACTTTTTGAACGATAATCTAAATTTAACCATAAGAATGACAATCTCCTCCATTATAAAAATGAACAAATGGTGGATAGACATTGCGCATGAGATTAGATAATGTTGAATAGTTCGGTCCTGAGCTGCATAAAAGTGAATTATTATAATATAGCAATGTTGATATTCTATCAATAAGGAAATGAAATAAGAAAATTATTCTATTAAATTAATAAAAAAAAAAAAAAATGGTAAAAATTATCAAAAATCTAAAAATCAGTTTTTTCTTAGATTCCTTAAAAAAATAACATGTAAACAATTGAACCCTCAGCAAAACCGAATGGTCACCGTTTTGTGTTTTTTTTTTCAGACCAACATTATGCCATGATGTCTTACAAAAAATGTTTTTGCACTTGATTAATTTTTATTTTTTTCCAATACGTTTATAAAAATCAAAACGTAATTATTTTTTTTTCAGATTTGTAAACTTTCCCTTAAGAACATTAATCACTTTAATTGCTAGGCTGAAAACTGAAATAAAAAACAACTATAAAAAAGTTGCTAGGCTGAAAAACTGAAATAACAACAACTATAAAAAGTTATTTTATTACAAGGATTACTATTCAAGTAAATTAATTACAGTTTTAAATTTCGTCATTGGAGTTCATTCATTACATGTGCAGTGCTATTAGTACATGATCTTCAAGAAGTTGAGGAGGAGATCGGTCGGCTGAAGAACAACAAAGCAACTGGTGTAGATCAACTACCAAGTGAGCTATTAAAATACGGTGGTGAAGCACTGGCTAGAGCGCTGCACTGGGTAATTGCCAAGATTTGGGAGGAGAAGATATTACCGGAGGAGTGGATGGATTGCTGCAACTACCACGCGATCACACTGCTGAGCGCCACCTACAAGGTACCCTCCCAAATTCTATGCCGCCGCCTGTCACCATTTGCAAGAGAGTTTGTGGGGCAATACCAGGCGGATTCATGGGTGCCCGCGCTACCACGGACCAAATTTTGGCGATTCGGCAGGTTCTGCAGAAATGCCGCGAATACAACGTGCCCATCAATGTTCATCGATTTCAAAGCCGCATACGACACAATCGATCGAGATCAGCTATGGCAGATTATGCACGAGTACGGATTTCCGGATAAACTGACGCAATTGGTCAAGGCGACGATGGATCGAGTGATGTGTGTTGTTCGAGTATCGGGACCACTCTCGAGTCCCTTTGAATCTCGAAGGGGGTTACGGCAAGGTGATGGACTTTCGTGTCTGCTGTTGAACATCGCGTTGGTGTGATCAGAAGAGCTGGGATAGACACGAGTGGCACGATATTCAGAAAGTCCATCCAGCTCCTTGGCTTCGCCGATGACATTGACATTATGGCACGGAACTTTGAGATGATGGCGGAAACGTACATCAGACTGAAGGCAGAAGCTAGGCGGATTGGACTTGCCATCAACGCGTCAAAGACAAAATGCATGAAAGTAAGAGGTTCTAGGGAAGACAATGTTAGCTTTCCACCCGAGTTCAGATTGACGGTGACGAAATCGAGGTGGTCGATGAGTTCGTGTATTTGGGCTCACTGGTGACCACCGAAAATGATACCAGCAGAGAAATTCAAAGACGCATGATGGCAGGAAATCGTGCCTACTTTGGACTCCAGAGGACGCTCCGGTCGAATAAAATGCGCCGCCGCACGAAGTAGAATGTCTACAAGACGCTGATTAGACCGGTGGTCCTCTACGGTCACGAGACCTGGACTATGCTCGTGGAGGACCAACGCGCCCTTGGTGTTTCGAACGGAAGGTGTTGCGTACCATCTACGGTGGAGTGCAGATGGATGACGGAACGTGGAGGAGGCGAATGAACCACGAATTGCACCAGCTGCTGGGAGAACCATCCATCGTCCACGTTTCGAAAATTGGGTGACTACGGTGGGCTGGGCACGTCGTAAGAATGCCGCACGACGACCCAGTGAAAATGGTTTTAGAAAGCGACCCAACAGGAACAAGAAGAAGAGGTGCGCAGCGGGCAAGGTGGATCGAAAAGTAGAAGGTGACCTGCGGACCGTTCGCAGACTACGAGGCTGGCGAACTGTGGCCATGGATCGAGTAGAGTGGAGACGACTTCTTCGGACAGCAGAGGACAACAAGGCCTTAGCCTGATTGGTAAGGTAAGTAAGGTATTAGTACATTGTGAGTTCTCTCATGGACATCAAGTACGGAAAAATAATTTTAATTACCCTCATTACCACTTTAGAATGTAATAGTTACAACACCTTTGCATGATTTTTGACATTCAAATAAGACGGGTTCGTTAGTTCAGTGTGCCAAGGGTCTGCTCAGTGAATTTCCTACCATTTTTAATTTATTAGATTTAGAAAAAAAAATCGAAAAAATAGACCTTTTCTGAAAGTTGTCATGTTTATTCTGGAAGTCAAAGTATTTACACGTAATTAATGTAATTTTCAATCTGAGAGGGTACTACCAACCAATAGTTGGTCGCCTTAGATAAACTGGACAACATCAACTTTTAGTTCTTTTCGACTGAGTCTAAAGCAGAATGGGTCTCCGTGTCTGCAATCATGATATTTTTTTTTTTAGCTAGACATCATGACTAACATTCGAAAAAGGTTTGAAATAATGGCAATATAATTCGTTTAATATTCGTAGTAGCTTGAGAACTGATTATTTTAGGGAAAATGTTCGTATGAACTAATTAATTGAAAATGATAAGTAAAATACATTTTTTGTTATTATTTTAATTAAAAATACGACAGTTGAATATGTTTTAAAATTTGATATTATCAAAAGCTAAAAAAAAAACTCTTTTTAGCATTTTACCATTTTGCACTCTGCATCATATTTTAGGGCATAACTTAAACTTTTTTTTCACAAAAAAAAAATCAAATGGTCTTTTGAGAAAATTAACATGTTAACTTTTAAACCTATAATTTCTTCCAAGACGTCATTTTGATCAAATATAGCCGAGATGAACAAACCAACGGCTCAAAGCCTCTTTAATAAAGAAAGATAAGATAAGATCAAATATATCGATTTTAAGTTATGATTTTTTGAAAAAGCCGTTATAACAACTTAGTCCACACAAATTGACATTTTTTTAATGGAAGATGTCATCTTCGGTATTAACCAACATAATATGTGCAAAATTTCAATCAAATCGAAGAGTCATGTCCAACCGATTTGCTATTTGGCGTGAAAACGCTCTATAGGTTTGTTTCCGTAAGTACTTGCTTTTCTGTTTTTGCTGTAAGTTTCTGTAAGAAAATAATACAGGAATCCCTGATTCGCGCGATGGGTGGTGCCGTCTAGCTACCGCCATTTCTCAGCAATCTTTCAACCAATTGAGCTGATTTTTTGAATGTGATTAGGGCCAACTACTAACTTTATACTCACAAAAAGTTAGCTTAATTGGTTGAAAGACTGTTGAGAAATGGCGATGGGTAGATGGCACCACCCACCGCGCAAATCTGGGATTCCTGTATTATTTTTCTTAAAGCAACTTACAGCAAAAGCAAAAAAGCAAGTATGGGAACAAACCTTATATCTACACACTTAGAAATAACTAATTTTACACGTGACGGAATCCATCTTTGACATAAAGGATCAGACGTAAACAAATATTCCATGTAAGATTAAGTGCTCCGAGACTGAAAAGTTCGTTACTCTATACGTTTGATTGTGTTGAGTTAAGCGTCTTTTATGACCCAATTTTATGTCAAAATTGACGATCGTATATGTCAGTCTCAAAGCACCTAATTTACATGATTCTTTCTAAGTGTGTATATGTGGAATTACAGAATACTGTAATCCATCCATTTAAGCGGTGGGTGGTACTATCCACCCACCGCTGTTTCTTGACTGTCTCTCAACCAACTACTGTTTTGTATGTGATTAATGTCCATCATAAACTATGTAACTAGAAGGGCAACCGAGAAATAGCGGTAGGTGGACGGCATCGAAGGCCTTTGCGCAAATAATTGATTATAGCAAACAAAAATTGCTCTAAAAAAAGGTTTGTAATTTTCAAAGCAATTGCAATTTTACATGATGTAAAAAGTATCTCGTCAAGCACAACCGGGTTAAACTAAACTAATCTAAAGCACCGTAACATTTATTACATAGTCGCCGACAATACAGCAGGAGGCACTAAACAAATGTGTGTAGGGGAAATGGCTCTAATGTTGGCCTATGGATCTAAGATTGGGCCCATCGCTAAAAATCTGCTATTTTCATCTAGATGAACGCGTCATTGGGACGGTACTAATGGATATTTTTGGTCGCTATTGAAAATTTAGTCGATTGCTGATTTTATGTATGTTCCAAAATTATGTGCATTTAGGTCGACATTACATCCATTTCCCCTACCTACCTAAAACAACAGCGTAGAAAAAAAGCGAAAACAGGGACTCACCTCTAACCGGAAGCAACGAGTACGAGGCATGTAGGGTATCACCCGGTCCGATGTGTTTGCTAACGTCGACCTCGGCAACGATGTTTTTAAATTTTCCATTGCTGAACATACACACGTCGACATGTTGAACGGCAACCAGCTGTGGGAGGAAAATGGAAATTGAGAAAAAGCTTGCTTGTTGGTTAGTTTATGGTGTTTGCAGGGCTGTACATCCCATATCTAGTTCGGTAGGTGGGAGAGGCTTAGGGTACGTAATTGAGTTTGGTGCAGCGCGCATTTGGGATTCAAAAAGATTTCTGAACGCACGCTGTGTACATTTTAAAGAAAGAACAACAATGTTAGATGAAAAACAAAAACAGGTTTCAAAGAGGCACGGTTATTTCACAGACAGACAGACGTAGCTCTTAAAATAGATTTTCCTTAAAGATATCGTTACAGAACTCTCTAACGATACATCTCGCCAGCTATTCGTGGAAAAAAACTTGCTTGCCAAGTTTCAATCATTGTTCCATACAAGTTCGATATAATGTACATAAACGTCAAAGTGATCCGATGCTGTGGTGAAGGATTCGTGCAACTAATAATATTTTAATTGTTAAAGGCGTGTACGACGATCGAGCAGAGAGAGCTACGTATGTTTGTTTGTGGTTTTTTGTTCATTCAGAAGTAATGTCTGCCAAAGCATCCTTCTTATCCCGTATAACTACATCTGAAGGAGATTGTTAAACTAGACAGACCGTAAATTGGATAAGTGCATGTCGAGAGTAATAATGAAGGGCAGTTAAATTTCATTTCTCAAACAGAATTATATTTGGGTATTATAGAGAAAGAGTGATACGGTTTTAGGTTGATTCAGATTATTTTTTTTTGCTTCAAATCAGGGCTGGATTAAAAAAAAAAAAACATTGAGCTCATGTTCATGTGGAAAATACTATGCGAGAAGTTTACCACTACTTCCCGGAACATAGGGTAAATTCGTGAGTGAGCACAAATGAACGAACCAGCGCCTGATTGGTCGGGCGAACGTATAGAAACGCAAGAATTTTTACAAAAGGCAATCTATTTTCTTGTATTTTAACAGTCAACTGCGTTGCCCATAATGAAATAGTTTTTGCACGGTCGTTTCCGCGAGAGAAGATGAACACATCACAGACAAAAAAAAAACAGTTGTCTCCTTTTCCTCTTAGACCTACACTCTTAGAAATAATTAATTTTACACGTGATGGAATCCATGTTTGACATAAAGGATCAGACGTAAACAAATATGTAATGTAAAATTAAGTGCTCCGAGACTGAAATGTTCGTTACTCGTCGAAAAGTACATTTGATTGAATTGAATTGCGTGTCTGTTATGACTTAATTTTATGTCAAAACTGACGCTCGTATATGTCAGTCTCAGAGCACCTAAATTTACATTATTTTTTCTAAGTGTGTAGATGAAAACAAATTGCTTATGTTCATCCCGGCCCGTGAGCATTAGCTCCATACTCAAAATATTCCCGAGCATGAGACTTGAATAGGCGTATTATGCAGCTATCCCAAGTAACATTGCAAGTTTTATCGAGGTTTTAAAGTATTCTACAAGTCTAAATCATGGTCTACAGAACCATCATAAAACCCAAATTGTTACTTGGGATAGAACGCAGATATTATATTTTATGCCTTGATACATTACGTGTTCGAGCAATAATTTTACTTCGCTTCGTTACAGGACTTTTAGAGTAAAGAGCTAACATTCATGTTTACTGAATTCAATGAAGTAGGCATTGTAAAGTCGAATAAATTAGATGGTGTTTTCATTGTTAGAATTGATAAAGCTTAATAATCTCTAATTGAATAATTTATTTGAACAACAGCATAAATCACATTTTTACCGAAAGCAACCTTTTAAAAAGTTTTGGATCCACTTAGATTACTACACCTTTCCTTCAAATATTACAAAATTTGCAAGAGAAGAACCACTTTAAATTAGAGTCCAATATATTAATTTGTAGAGCATATAGAATCTCAATTTATTTTTTTCTGTTCTCCAGCATTTGTATCAAATGGACTTATGCGGTTTTATTAAATCAGTAACCGGCAAAATGGGCTTAAAACGTAAAAATTACCGTAAGAACCAAAAAGGCATAACATTGTCAAAAAATGTTGCATAAATAGCTTGGCTCTGAAAAGACATAATAGTAGAAAAAAGCCAAAAATGCCAAAACAGACCAAACCTCATCTTAGGAATAAAAAAGTCACCAAAATGCTTGAATAGTCATAAAAAAGTGATGGAGAAGTTCACGATAACCCACTGTGCCTCACAAACGTTTCCATCGTGAGTTTCGTGAATTATCACGAACATTTATAAACGACAAAATTGCATTAAATAGACTAGACTGCTAAGCATTAGGCTGATGCAGATGCGCAAACGGTTCCAAATCGGATCCTGATTAGGGTCCTAAAATTTGAAATTATTTAAAAAGAAACTGACTTAGCACAAACCATTTGAAGTTTATATGGAAATTACTATGGAAAAACCAAAATTTTGGTTCATATCTATTTCAAAATTCACCAGTTCACTCTGCTTGAGAAAATAATACGTACGTTTGTTGATTTTTTTTTCAGTTACAACTTTCTTGAAGACCACTTTTCGATCAAATGTAAGGAACAAAAGTTATTAATGATTCAAATCACTGACTGATGTCTTATGATTATGCTCAATCAACTGTTCAGTAGGCAACATTCCCAAGTAATCAAAAGTTCTAATAAAAGGCTATTTGTGGCTTAAGCAGCTTGGTTGAAGGTGGTCTATAGAATTCTAAGCAGCCTCATTTTTAAGTCGTTATAAGAACTTGAAAGTTCCAGTACCATAATTGAAGAGCATTCTAAGCAGTCTCTGGCGGAACTTGAACGGAACTCTTAGAAAATAAATTAAAAAAGTTTTTTGTCCTCTACACCAATTCTATATTTAGTTCGCAGTTTTATGAAAATTATTTCTAAAGGCAGGTATTAATGTGAATTGATTTATCAGCATTAGTAGTAGAATTGGAGCTGTTTGAAGAATTAAACCCAGTCATCTGAGATATATTAAAGTGAGCTGTTGTCCCGCCTACTGTTGGAGTTTTCAGTGTCAGCTGAATGACTTGAATACGAGACAGAACACCTTGATGAATTTTCAATTTGTGTTTGCCCGCATGGTATTCCAACACACTTGTGGCGCTGTGGTTAGCAATCGTAGATCGCATGCCGAATAAACGGGTTCGAATCAAGGAAATTACTCTTTAATTATTTTTATTTTTATTTTTGGATAGAATGTTAATGCACTGCATAAATATAAGAATTATGATTTATTCGGGCCACTGATCATTTCATATTTACGTACATTAAATTTTGTTACTAATAAGGACTTGTGCGGATTGCTTCATGTGGCTTGAAAGTTCTCTTGGAACTTTATTTGAACTTTATGGAATTTGGAAGTGATTTTAATCGTTGAATGCGGAACTTTTGGGTACTTGGGTTGGTGTTTCTGGGGCGTAGAATAGAGGACAAAAATCATGGCTACACTGAAACAAGGACCATAGTTAGGAATACTATTTTGCAGAAAACACTTATTTCCAACATAACCACGCTTATTACCGTTAAATCTACTATGAATTAAGTATAGTTGACTATGAATGTTAACAAATTTACTATGATTCTGGCAAATTTACTATGCTTGCTTAAAATGCATAGTAATTTTGATAGAAATAATAGTGAAATGAAATGAAATTGTTTTCTGCAAAAATCTTTTGGTGAAGGTATTTAATTTAAACCACCAATATAGTATTTTTTCTAATAGATTTTGTTTCAGTGTACTATGTCACACTGCAGGATACACTGAAGTCTTTTTTTACACGGTTTTTTTACGCGGTTTTTTTTTCACGGTTTTTTTTACACGGTTTACCACGATTTACACGGTACGTTTTTAACGATTTCTCGACAACGATACAACCTATCGACTTGATTATCCGTTTCATGCTATTTGTAATCGAATGGCATACTTTAAAAAAATCATAATTTTTGGTGTAAATACAGAAATTTTTAAAATATGTCTATATGGACCATATCATGCTTTAATTACAAATGGCATCAAAATCCGATTTTTTTAAAAACATTTAAGCATGCGAAAAATCAAAATCTCGTAGGTTTTTTTTACACGGTTTTTTTTACACGGGCCGTATTCCCCGTGTAAAAAAGACCTGAGTGTACTATGTTGCCCACAATACAGTTGCTTAATCATGCCATAAGATTATCAATCTCTTAAACATCTTAAACATATTTAGTTTGACGCTTGGCTGAGAAACAATGTTTTGCAAAGTTGTAGCTGAGAAAATTTCCCATAAACATAGCAATAGAACTTGTTAACAGTACAATATGGAAAAATGCTACAAGGTTGTGAACATTTTGACCATTATTTTTCAAAATGGCGTATTCGTTATTTTTGATTAAATATAGCATAGAAACGTGTCCTCTAATCAAAATGACGTCTTAGACAAAGTCCTAAGAAAATAGAATAAATGACGGCTTAGGCAATACCTTTACCGGATGTAGGACAAAAGGTCGAAGGACAAAAGGTCGAAGGACAAAAGATGTCACCCTAAGGCAAGGTGGGGTGGCTCCATGCAAAAGTCGGTCATAATAATTTGTCTAATATTGAGTATTTAGTCAAGATTGGATGATAATAGTCAAAAAATAGAATATCGCAATATTGGATCAAAAGCTTACAATGGAAAAAAAATAATATAAATTACTGAATTTAATAGTTTTCTGTTAATATAATTAAAATCTATCATCAAAGTTTCTAATTTTTAACGATTAGATATTATACAAGCTATAGAGGCAGTTTTGTTATTATTAATAAATTGTTTATATGGAGTGATTGTAAGAACCATCTACGAATTTTTCTATGAGATACCAGCAGAAATTTAAAATAAAGATGAGCAAGCATACGTTTGCCGTATTTTGAAAGAAAAGAAAAAAATCCTATCAAGTGGATACGTTTTTATTGATGCGCAATGATACGCATTAATTTTGTAGCATATTTTAGATACAAAATGGTTTTCACAAAATTGAAAAAAAAAACAAAATATGCTATTTAGCAAATATATAATTATTTAG